ACACACTCACACACACTCACACACACTTTTTCTTCCCATTTGCTACTTGTATGCATTTTACATTCTCCCTTGAAATCTTTGTTGGGTTGGATCAAGCCATACCCAAATGTGTCTGAAAACACAGAGATGAATCAATCAGGAATTTCCCTTGTGCATGACAATCAGGAAATGGCATTTCTGCAGAACAAAATATGTCAAAAAAAAGAAATTGCTGCTAGCTGAAGCCTATGAAACAGGGAGACAAGCACTTCCTAAGAGAAAGTGTTGTTACTTCATCAGCTTCATTCCAAGTATTGTTACTTAAAACTACAAAGAGCTGGACAAAGAACTCTTTCACAATTCCTAATAGTCATCCGCAATTTGACAAGACTGAATAGTTTTTCCTTAAAATTTAAAGACAATTCTTGCTCTTATAAGAAAATGGAGGTAACTGTACAAGAGATATTTTGATATGTCCATTTCCCAAGCACATATAATCCAAAGATTTGTTCTGGTGCTCAAAAGGCACTTAAAGAGTTAAAAACAAACAAAAAACCACTAACAACCAATGAAAAAATAGAAACAAAAATAATTTAATAAAAGATAGAATGTATCATATCTTTAAGGAGAAAAGTAAACCTTCAGATAATTCTTATGCTGTCAAGTCATTTTCAAAAATATGTGTAACACACACAGATGTGATCAAAGCATCTCTTCTCCATAAAGCAAAGTAAGAAAAAATATTACTGGCAATGAAGATAGAATAGTTTGCCAAATGGCACCCTCTCTTCCCCCCCCCTCACTTTGCAATATCCAACCCATGCAAAAACTACATTTGTTGGTTTGTTACTACCACAAATGGAATATTTGCTGTTATAATGAACTAGGGGCTATTTATATGCTAGGGAAGGCTTGGGGACATGTAGGGTAACTTGGAAGGGGGATTAAAAGAATTTCATAAATGAAAAACTACCACTGTTAACTAATTATGGCATTACAGATGCCTACTACATTAGCAGACATATAGATAAACACCATTATCATTATAATATAATATTGAGGAACAATATTAGAATAACTACATACATTCCTTTCACACTATATATGAGAAGGTCAAAATTCCTTCAGGATTGGGGAAGGTTGTTCTCATTTTTACTGATGCATTTCTAATATACTGAATTATCTATTAAGTGCAAGGATTTGGAGTCACAGGGTCTCAATTAAATTTAGCATGAAGAAGAAACATTACAGTTCAGCAGATATTTTTCATACTGGAAGCAAGTACAGCAATATATAAACAGGCTAGAACAGGCAAGGGGCAGATTCATGAAATGAAGCATGTTCACAGATGAGATACAGAAAATGAGAATCACATGTGTGTTCACTTCAGAGGAAAACATTATCTCCTAAAATATGTCCTCTTCTATGCAATTTCTGAAAACAGATGGGATTACGAATAAGAGGATAAATATGACAGATATTTTCTTCCTTCAGCAAAATGGACTGCTTTATAAATTAAATTTTGGCTGAAGTGTATCAGCAAGTGAGTACAGCAAGCCGAATTCAAGGCCACCAATTACCCAGAAGTCATTAAAATTGACTTCTAATGAGGAATGGAAAATATTTGGTTTCTTTTTAAGAGATGGCCATTACAAAATAAATTCGAGGTATCAAGCAGTGGAACATGCGGATTTAACCAAGTGTGCAGTTTCAGTAAGATTTATCAATGTTAAAATATAAGAGTAGTGGAATTCAAAGGAAACAAAAAATCTACCCTAGTTGAAGGGCTGGTATTAGAAACATGTGATTTTAAAAAGCAGCAAGTAGAGCCTTGAGTTCAGTGAAAAGAAAAAGGGCAACCATGCAAATGCTAGAGCTCTTGGTTGTTGTGAATGTTTTTTTTGTTTTTTCTTTTGTTTTTTGCCTATATTAAACTACAGAAACAAATTTTATTTCTGTAAGCCCCAAATCACTCTATATTGTTATATAGTACAGTAGAGAAAGTGCAAATTGTCATATTGGTTCAGATATATGCCCAATTCAGTCAAGTATGGATCATGCTGTTCATGCAAGGGGATATGGTCCAGGAACCCCCTTATATACTGCTAAGTAACTTTAAAGAAATATGATTTTACTAAAACCCTCCTTGCCTGTTTTAATCCAGATTAAAACAGCATTTTTCTCCAGAGGAATCATTAGCAAAAAGGGAGATGAGAGAATAAAATATTTCAACCACTATATAAGGTAGCCTATTTATTTATTGTTATCAACCACAGGTTACTTCAAAGTCCTCTTCTGTTTTGAAAACAGTGGGAGTTGAGTTTCTCTTGTACACATGTAACACTGTGCTACAACATGAAATCCATACAAAACATCCTAGATTTCCTGTTTGTATAAGGGTATAATTGTACCACTTTTTACTCTTTGCATCCACATCTGGCATACTCCTCCAACCAGAAAATGACCACAAGTTTCCATATTTCAATGAAGCAGTCCTTAAGAGATGAATTTGAAGACAGAAATCCACCCATCTAGGAGAACAGAACTGATCATCATCAGATGAATTCAGTATTTCCAGGACAACTAGTGTTTCTTTTCATTTGTAACTCTAAAGCCAAATTGCACTGATGTGAAAATTCAGTTCATGAACTGATCAACAGTCTATTGCTCGATGTATAGTTGCTGTGTAATTCACCCACACAGGCAAAAACACACTCTAGCAGATGTCTAAGGGTGAGGTAAGTCTATTAAATTGTTACTGGGCTATATAAAGTTTCATATATACTTCTAGACAGACTTGAATATTCCAGTGGTAATTACATAAAATGACCATTGGTAGTACCAAATATTTTCAGCAATCTTGTTATATGTGTAAATGTCACAAAATCCTTAAACCGCTTCTACAATCCCAAGTATCATCTTTTTTTACAAGAGTCACTTTTTCCCTGTCTTTTCTCCTAATGACATCATTTGTACAATCATAGCTTCCTTCTCAAAAGAAATGAAGATCAGAATGACTAACCATTTTCCCAAAGAATGCTCCTTTGAGAGGGTAATAGCTACATTGTGCCAGATTTATCTGAAGAACTATTAGGAAAGAGCTTCTCAGTGGGTGTCACTGCAGGACTGCCCATTCCTGAGCTGCTACTGCTACTTGATCGATGTTGTACAACAGGCCTGATGGGACGCATAGGAGGGGGCCTCAGCTGAGCTCCTGCAAGCCGGGCTGAGAGAGCAGGTTTAAATGTCGTCATCATTTCAGTGGTTGAACTGCTGCTCCGCCTCATAGCTGCATCGGGGTCTCTGATCATGATGGTATGAAGGGGACTGGCAGGTTCAGAATTGACAGAACCAATCTGTGGGTTCTTCATTGGTTCAAGAGTGTCCAGGACAACATCAGGGGCTTGTTTCACAGTATTTTGCCTTTCGAGCTCACGCAGTTCATTCAGTGCTGTGCTCATGGTCTTTTCAATGTCCTGTAAACACAGAAATACAAACAGAAATGAGAGTGACCATTCCTTGAATTAGATGATGACCTAGTTTCCTTTCTTATTTGCTTTAGGCAGAAGGCTTGATACAGATAACCATGAGTGGAACAATGGCTAGTGCTTTCCTGTAGCACTGGCGAAAGAATTTGCATGGGACTGATGACAGTAATCAAGTTTCTACTTGCCCATGAAATACAGCATATAATCTTTGAATAATTTCACACTCTTATACAGTGGTCTAGTGCAGCCTTCCCCCAGGCTGGTTCTCTAGCTGGGAATTGTAGGAGCTGAAGTCCAAGAGAGGTGAAGGGCAAAGGTTGGAAAGAGTTCATGCACTAAGACACACTGAGAATGTGAAAATATATTTTTGGATCCAATTCTCTAGATAACTCTCAAAACTTTTGAACAAAAACATGATATTTTAGATACAACATAATTAAAAACATTAAAAAGAAAGTAGCAGAGAAGAAAAGATAAGCCTCTCCCCAATTTCATCTGCCCATCCTACCAGATCCAGCAGAGAGGGCATGTTATGGGTTTCGTCACCTAGGGAGCTACATTTGGCAGGCCACAGGCGGTGGGCCTTTTCTGCTGTGGTGCCCGCACTGTGGAATCTTCTCCCCCCAGAAGTGAGGTTGGCCTTGTCATTGTTATGCTTCCAGAGGTCCCTTAAGACCTGGTTATGCCAGCAGGCCTGGGGACCCCAGAGGATGGGGAAATTAGTGAGATGGCTCCCTTATTTTTAACATCCTTTTATTCTTTGTTTTATTTTTATTTTTATATTTTTAATGTACTTATTGACTGTTTTTAGCTTTGTTGTATGCCATCCAGAGTTGCCTGTGGTGAGATGGGTGGCTATATAAATTGGTGTAATAAACAAACAAACAAACAAACATACAAACAGGTGGACACAATATCAAGGGAACATGGTTAGTATACCTGGAGGCTCTATTTCTGATTTTAAATGGATGTGAGCTCTTTCAACTATAACTTAATTCCACCATGCAATTCCTCTTCTTTCATTTTTGGTATGGCAGAATATCATGTCAGCCATCTGTTTAAGGCTGAGATGGCAGTGCCACCTATCTTATCTGGTTAATATTAGTTGTCTCCTGGTGCATCCTCTTTGGATGGAAAGTGTTTAGGTTACTGTGTGTTTGGATCTTACATGAAGCTTTTGCATCTATCTATCTATCTATCTATCTATCTATCTATCTATCTATCTATCTATCTATCTAATCAAATTTACATGGGCGCCCATCTCACACAAGGTGACTCTGGGCGGTGTACAATAAAACCAATTATTAAAACAGAATATAAAAACCACTTAAAACAATAAAATAATTAACATAACTAAAAACAAGATTGTGAGAGGGTTAATTAAGATGTTAAACATGGTGCCACCAACGTGGGGACTCTGCTGCCAGGCCTGATGAAAAAAACACATTTTGAGGGCTTTCTGAAAGGCCATGAGGGTTGGGGCTAACCTCACCACATGGGGGATGATGTTCCAGATGGTGGGCATCACAGCAGCCCTGGGTCCCACCAGATGGGACTCCTTAGCAGGCGGGACCCGCAACATGCCTCCCCTGCTGGACCTGATGGGGGACAGGTAGAAATAATTGGGGAGAGGCAGTCCCTGCCACTGGAGCCTATTAACTGCCACTAAGAGGAAAGAGGAGAGGGGAGTGAAACACTGACTAAAGTAATGAGAGTGAGGAAGATATAAATAAATAAATAAATAAATAAATAAATAAATAAGATTAAAAAACGATAAATTTTTGCCTGGGCACCAGCCACGCCCCTTTCTGGAGCACATGGATATGGCTACAGCAATATATGCATTAATCATTTCCTATTTCAATGGCCACAGTGCACAGTAATTGACTGCTGCCCTTGAAGAATAATTGGGGCTGCCCTTGTAGAGTGTTCAGAAACCACAGGTGGTACAAATTATTGGAGCCAGATTGCTTTCCTGTGTACATTTTATGGACCATAGTATACCAATCTTAAATCAACTGTACTGGCTTCTAATTAGTTTCACTTATGAGTGACTTCCCCTCCCAATTCCTGCTGTGCTGCCTCATTGTGGCTGGGTGGGGGGCAGCTGTTGCTGGAAGGCACGAGTGAAGAATGCAGAGAGTGTATGCCAAGAGTATGTATTCCCAGGAGGGTCACCCAAGGCTGCCCAGCTAAAGCAAGCAGGCACCTATATTGGGCAGCTGCAGTATAGGAAGATGCTGGAGGCAGATGATCACTTTAGTGACAATGGCAAAGGCATCAATTCAT